TGGTCTGAAAGACAAGTGTAGGCCCAGGATATGATAAGAAGGCCTGGGGTAGGGACTGGGGTTGCAATAAGCAGCACAGAACAGAAACATTGGTACCTGAGAGGTGGGGGAGGAAGAGAAGGGCAAAAAAAAGGGGGGGGGGATAAGAAGCAGAAGGAAGTAGGGGAGTGAAGGCCAAGGATATAGAAAGTTCTAGATCAGGGTATCCAGTAGGGTGGGAACTAAGGAATATACATAGAAGGTCATTAAAAATCTCCATGAGGGAGGAGAGGTACATGAGCCTCTATCCCCAACTGAGAATACTGACAGCGTGGCTTCTGGAGGTGGTAAAGTCAGTTTTCTTTAAGGCTGTGTTCTATAGTAGGGCACCTGCCCATGGATGCCCCACACTAGTGAGTACATGGGCAGCACAAATTTGACTTCATGCGTTATCTTAAAAAAAAACTGGGAGTGAGTGGGTAAGTGGGGAGTGGATCTGGGAGGAGTTAGCGGAAATGGTGGGGAGATGAATATGCCCAAAGTATGTTATAGGAAATTCTCAATAAAATATATTAAAAGTGAAATGAATATACACATTATATTTTTCTTCATAAATTCATGGGGGCAAATCAGAAAACTAACAGGGCAATTTTAGACAGCATTGGATAGAAATAACAACAGGAGCCACCTGGCACGCTCAACTTCTCTGGGTGGGCAGTATGCTGGACTAGGTGTGTGCTGAGTTTTGTGTGGTTTTCATGACAACCCTACAAAGAGAGTATCATATCCTCCTTTGTGGGATGAGTAAACAGCTTCAGAGAGATTAATTTATCCAAGCATACCCAGTGGGCAAGCCACCCTATTGGGAGACAAGAAAGAGGGACAGATGACCCAGGTTTCTGTGACAAGGAACCTCTCTCTTCCTCCCTCCCTCCTTGCTTCTTCCTCCCTCCCCCCTTCCTTCCCCTATCCTTCCTTGTTATTTTCCTTGTGGGAGAGCATAAATATGTTTGTGGGCTGAGGAAGAGCAGAAGATGAACAATTAGCAGAGGAGTGATAACGAAGCAGATAGTGGGGGGGGGTGAGCTGGAGGAGGGACTGGGGAGCCGCCAACACAGTGAAAGTCTACCCATGACCTCTGTCCTCTTCTAAGGGAGAATTGCTGCTTGTCCCTTCCAGAAGGGGGAACTTGGATGGCTGCTGGGGACAGAGAGAACTTTTATAGTGCTTCTAGGACCATCTGTGATGAGCAGCAGCTCAGGGATGAATTAAGGGGACTTCTGTAGCAAAGGCCCAAAGATCCACTAGCCCAGGAGAGGGCTGCTCTGAAAACCCTTGATGCCAGTTCTGGTTCTGTTTGCAACCCTGTAATGGTGGGCTTCCCAGAAACTCTTGGGATTCCTACTGCCTGATCACAGATCCAGTGGAAACCCAGTCTCCTAATGTGGAGGTTACAGGTGCTGGTCTGGAGGGAGGCTCCCTGGGGCTCTTGAGCAAAGCACAGTGCGTTGCTAAAGGTGTTACACCTGCAAAAAACATCGAAGTCCCATGGATTTTAGGAACAGGATCTAGGTGAACTAATTAGCCTTAGACTCTGTGATATTGACAGATACCATGCCTTCTGTCTGTCCCTTGTCACACATTCTAGTTACCAGAAACACCTGTGATACTGTGGATCTTAGCCTGGGTCTCCAGCTCCAAGGCTGAAGACTCCCTGAAGGCTGTGCCCCTCCATCACAGTGGCAGAACCCAGAACACATCCAGAGCAGCCTGGCTGCCGATAGCTTGTTCTCTGCCCTCTCCAAGGATCTGGGATTTATTTAGCCCGTTTCCGTGGCAGCGCTGGTGGCAGCAGCAGCATCTGCTTCTCCATGAGTCTGTGAGTCACGGCCACCCACGCTAACCCTTGGCACAGCACAACCCTGCTGGGGACCACTGATAATAAGGCAGTGGGGAGATGCCACGCACTTCCCACTGCCTCGTGGCTTGCTGCCCTGGGTCAGACCCCATAGAGATGGTGCGCTGGCAGAACTCTGGGGAGGACTTACCTCAATGCTCTCCCAGAGCAGTCAGATCCACTTCAGCTGACTCCCAGGTGGTTTACCTTGGTCACTGCTGCAGATGCAAGGCTTCTTGGGAGAGAGCTGCAGGATTTTGTTCCCTTACCACCTAAGTTTCACACTGCAAGATGGTCTCTCCGGGTCCTCTGGCTCTCAGTCTAGGAGTTCCCTTTATGACACCATTAGCTCTTCATCTCTGGGCAGCCACCTCTTAAAGTGGATTGTTTTGCAGAGGCGGGGGTTTCAAGACAGGATTTCTGTGTAGCCCTGGCTGTCCTAGAATTCACTCTGTAGACCAGGCTGGCCCCAAACTCACAGAGATCTGCTTGTCTGTCTCCTGAGAGCTGGGATTAAAGGCATGCACCACCACTGCCCTGTTCCTTCATCTGTCTTGTTGCAGTAAAAGGTTCGCCCTGTATGAGTGGATAAAGAAGCCTAGGGCTAATCTCAGAGATGTGTTCCTTTTTACTTCTCGGCAGGGAAGCATTGCCTGGGAGCTTGCTAGAACCCACACTCCCCACCTTACCCCAGATGAACTATAACCATAACAATCTGAAAATAAGTCCTTAGAGTAACTCAGAGGCATTGCAGAGCTTGTGGCCCCTGGTCCTGCACCCATGCCTTCTCCATCACAGGGATTTGGTCCATGCTTCTGGGTGGGTTGCCAGCACAGCTGCAAACACCTCTGTTGTAGGTGAGGCACACTGAAAGGACTTGGGAAGTCCTTGTATATCTTTTTCCAGATTACTTGAGTCATGTGGAATGAAACTGGTATGGGTTTTCTTATACGGAAAAGGCAGCAATGTCTTGCCTGCTGTGGAGAGGGCCTTGAGGCTAAAAGAAAACCAACCCTCTTTAAGAGCTGAAGGGAGCCAAGTGCCAGAATGTAAATTCCAACACTTTGCTTCCATCTCATTGGACAGAAACAGTCTTGGACCTTCTTACCTTTGGGGACCAGAAAATGCAAAGGAGAGGATGAATGGTGGTATTGAGGCTTTACTACCACTTGTAGGGTTCGTGTGTGTGTGTGTGTGTGTGTGTGTGTGTGTGTGTGATGCATGTGTACATGTTCGTGTGTCTTCCCTACAATTTTGCTAGATTTAGGGGTACTCACTGAACCTGGAACATGCCAATTCAGCTGTACAGGCTGTCCAGCAAGCTCCAGGGACCCTCTTGCCTGCTTCCCCAGTGCTGGGATTGCAGGTGCATTATGCAAAACTGGCTTTTTATTGTGGTGCTAGGGATCTGAACCCAGAGCACACCGTTAACACTACACACAACATCCACAGTGGCCCCTGGAACTGGAGCCTCACTGCCTTTTGTTCAAGCAAAGGCAGAGCAGGGATTTTTTTTGAGATTCCTGTTGCCATACTCCTGGGGTTTACACACTCAGCAAGTGTATAGTGCATTCACTGGAAAGGAGCAGTGATTGTCAATCCCTCCCCCAGTTCCTGCTTTCATGGAGTTTATCATCTGCTGAGTTAAAAATTATCCCAGTAGCTGGACAAAGGGGTTCGAATCCCCAATCCCACACTTGGGAGGTTGAGGCATGTGTTCAAGGCCATCTGGGCTACAGAATGAGACTGTCTTAAAAACAAAACCAAACAAATATGTAAGTAATTATCTTAAATTTGAAAAATATGCTGTGTAGAGCAACAGGCAGATCAAGTAAAAACCTGGGCCACAGAGGAGGGAGGAGTGGGTAACTTCTGACTAAAGATGGGGCCAAGAAGCCATTGTTTTCTTACAGATGAAACTTAGGTCTAAAAATGTCAGCGGCCTTTACAACACAGGCTCAGGGAAGCAAGCTTGCAGGTCTCTGGGCTTGATTTTTTTTTTTTTTTGAGATGCTTTTATCCTCCCATGCTAATAACTAACAGAACTGTACACCTATGACACCATTTTTTAGTTTTTCTACCGCCTTCCTATGCAACCACATCTCTTAAGCCTGGCCGCTTGCACCGCCCCCAGCAACCAGCCTCAGAATCCAGTGTGCTCTTGCTGTTCTCTTGCCTCTGGTGGGAGTTGTGGGATGTGTTTTGTTGAGGGTGGAACATCCAGTTCTCCCTAGCAGACCCTGCCTTCCAGCGCCTCCCTCACATCCACTCCCTACCTGCACAGGGATGCTACACAGAGTGCTACATTTCCATCTGCAAGGCACTGAGAGGACCCATCCCAGCAGCTGTGGACCAGAAAAGGTGGAGGGCGGAGGGCAGTTGAACCAGTACCTTCTTGCCCTGCAGGAAGGAGCAGGCATCATTACTTTCACCCGAGCTTGCTTTAGAGTGAAAACAATTACATAAGCTTCCCATCTGGCTTCCAGGGCACTTTTGAAAGGATCCCATCCCAAGTCCATTAGTTTTATGGGGCCTCAAAAGACAGGGCAAAGTTGGGGCTGAACATCCCCTATCTCCTTCATGTAGGCTTCGGCACTTTATATCCTTTGTTCCCTCCTGATGCCTCACTCCTTCCCTCTTTCACCTGTCTTCCTTCGCCTTCAGCAAGTCCTCCTCCAAGATTGCACTCAGCTACTGCATCTGCTGAAAGCTGCCTTTGTTCCGGGCTCACAGAACCTGACCCCTCAGGAGCTCACTGTGGAATTCTTTCATCTAACTCTTCTTCCTTCCTTTCTTCCTACCTCCCGTTCTCTCTCTCTCTCTCTCTCTCTTTTTGTTCTCTTTCTCTCTAGATGGCTTGACTTGGTTTTGAGATAGAATCTCACTGTAGCCCAGATTGGCCTCCAGCTTCAAGGAATCATCCTGCCTCAGCCTCCCTGCCTTCCAAAGGTTCACATCTGGCATTATCATTCCATCATTACACTCTGTCTACCTTGTAGATTGTCCTCTATATCATGTCATGTACTGTA